AAACATGACACCAACATATACTTGCACAGTGGGCCAAGTGTGCAGGCAGTCGCACCCAGAAGATACTCCTCCATGGATGATAAGGTGACGGCCCCAGCGGGCCACGCCAAATCGAAGCCGGGCGGCTGGAAGGCCGCTGCTTGGGCCTTCATGCTGCTAGGGTTAGGATCTGCAAGGGCATTCATGAGGTCCGGCCTCACTTACCCCGCCCTCACTCAAGCCCTCTCTTTTCCTTCAAGCCTGGTCTGCATGTTTCCCGCCCAAGGAGATACGGTTTGAGAAGCTCAATGCTAGTAGCTCTGCAGCCGCTCCAAAATATTGGGACACACAAGCTCTACATTTCCAACTCAGACGGCAAACGGTGCAGCATGATAATTCAAACGACTGGGTTTAGGATTCAGTGTGGAGATACGGACCTCGATGCCACTGGAATGTTGTGAGGTCCAGCTGGTAGCCACGCATATCTGCAAGGCTTCCTCCTGTGAGCTGATCATTTGGAATTGGTCTGGGCTTCAGCACTTCTCAACAAACCTGGAATTGGTTCAACACTGTAGCGACCACTACAACCAACAGAACGTATTTGGGACTTCGAACGGACACCGCTCAAATCACCTCACTGGGGACTGCAGCTAGCGGTCACAAGGCTGCTGAAGACCACAGCTGAGGCATTCATAGGCTCCGCGGCAAGTTAGCAGCGGAGACTGGAGACCGCACCCAATGCATGAAAACTCCTCTACCAAATTTGCATCACTACAACACACGTCCTGACAACGGTTCGCAGTGCTCGTTCGTGCCCCCAAAGGTAACCAGGTAGTCTTTGCCATCCAGGAACCTGTACGCTGGCAAAGCATCTGCTAGCTGCCTTGCTTACACGCAGTACGTCTGTCTTCCAGCGAAGACATCATGAATACCAACACATCTAGATCTAGATGGTGGAAGGGCGTCTTGAGTAATGTTTAGGTAGCATTAATTAAAGGGGTGACAATAGCGTTTTGTTGCCGGCCCGGGAAAATCCGGACAATCACATTTGCCTAACAAGTTCGGAGTCCGAAAATATATAAACAAGTCCAAATCGCAACAATAAAGGGGTGGCAATATTATTATTGTCCAGCGGGAAACGTCCCGATTTTAATCGATTTCCTTCTACTTGTCCTACTAGTATTACGAGCTGCACTACCTGGTCCTACCCGCGTCCCCGTCATTTACTATTGCGACCCCCCCTTCCGTAAGCCCAAATCGCAAAACAAGTTCTGGGGGGGCTGGGGGGGGGTTCTTTATTGTCATCTAACATTATGCGCAAACCACAATGAAACCAAATGATATTTGCGGGGATCCCGAAGACCGAAGCAATCGTAGTTCCTTGCTGACCCCAATTTGAACAGCAATCCTAGATTTCCTTCGAGCACTCTTTGCCCTCACCTGAGCCCGCCAGAATGGCAAGTTGCAAAATGAATGCTGAAGTGACCAAGCTGCGAGGTATGGCACACAGAGGCATGGAAAGAGCGCCAATCCGGAGCCGGTCCACGTGTCCGAACTGCCTCTTGTGTTTTGCGGACCCCCTGACTGGGGAGGCAACACTCTTGACATATCTTGACAACCTTGGGTTCCTCTGCGTTCTTCTGATTCCTTTGTCTGTCAAGTTCTCCAACCTGAAACATGCTGACCGTGCATATGGATATTGCTTTTGTTCCCATGGTGCTTCCTCAGAATCTCGAACTGCCTGCTCCGATGAAACTCCACATCATGCTGATAAACTGGCAGTGTGACTACGCAGGCCTCCCACGTGCAACTCCGCAGATCCAGAACGTACCTCGGGCTGAGCCGACTGAAGCCACATCATCAGGACGACTTGTTCTCTCTAAGCCCCAGAACAAACCATGTATCATAAACTCCGTATCACCCGACTTCCCACAAGAACCTCCAACACTGGACGTGCTTTTGAAACAAACGTTACCTTCGCATCATTCCAAGGCACACGAAGTTGCAACAGGTCCGGTCTTGGATCCGCTCATACTCATCGTCTGAGGTGGGGATGTCTCCTCCAAATACGCAAACCTGTCGGGCAACTTGCATCTCAGCTACGTCTGCTTCTTCGTTGTCTTAACAGCTTTCTTCTCTGGAATTTACAACCTTCTTCTCTGGAATATACTGCAATAGTTGGCTCTACTTGCACTACTTGGTTTCACAAAGTGCTGCACGCCCGCCTTCTGCCCCCCATTGAAAGACGTGCAGGTCAAGTTGTACATGTATTCCGGGATGGTCCCGAAAGCTTGCATTTCGCACCACCGAATCTGCGAACCTGATCTTCATGTTACGCCGCTATGCGCGTGAGGCTTGTTCCATGTGCAGTTTTCAGGCCGATTCAGGCATTCTCTTTTCTAGTTTCCCCACGATCTCCAGGTGGAACCCCTTGTAAAGGCCCCGTCTTGAGCCGGGAAACCATCTTCCCTCATGACTTGGAGGAAGACAAGTCTCTGCAAAGCTGGACGCGGCATCCCGAGCCTGGTCCAAGGCGAGAGTGAAACTGCTGTTGCAATTTCGTGCTGGCTCTACAACTCCCCATCCGGACACACATCCTGCGTGAAAGAACTTGGAGGGCGTCTCGGATGTCTGGCTCCCACTGTTGTGGCGAGAATTGCTTGGGCTGCGTCAGGGAGTTGAAACAAGATGTTTGCACATGCTAGAGTCAGAGACCTGAAGGTCTTCCGGAAAGGACTCTCTAAGCATGGTCTGCAGACAACAATGCACAGCCCGTCTCTTGGTGCTGCGAGTAAACGCCAACAGCAACTCAACACACTGCAAGCACTGTGCTAGGAACGATGACTGAGGATGTCGGTGCCATTGACCATCAACAGCATCAACAACGACGAAGACTGTCCTATCACCACCCTTAAACATCCCATCACCATAACCATCCTCGGCATGCCATGCAAAATAATCGCTACACTTCGTGCAGCCATGATTCCTCTACGCTAGCCAGGGGCTCTTGCAGCCGGACAAGCCCAAACCCTCAAGCATTCCATTGCTGATGGAAGCTTGCGGAGAAGGCGATCCTTTTCAAAAAACAGCACTTACTTGAGTCGCATGCCCCTGGGAGGGGGATGCACATCAATTACCTTCAAGAAGTGTTGAGGACACTCCCAGCATCAAGCCATCTATCCAGCCTTGCAGCTCTGGTGTTAGCATCATGGCCGCCCAAAACCAGCACGGCATTTGGAAAGGCCTGCAGCATCCAGGCTGACGCAGAAGCCCGAACTGACAACAATCCTTTGCAAGGTGAGAAATTGCTTCAACAACAGTGACTCTTTTTCGCAGCAAAGATGCGGAAGCGGGCAAATGCTTTGGCTTCACCACGCAGCTAGCATGGCGCATACGCTGGAGAGGCTTCAGGGAATCCTCAACTTGCATTCCATAAATCACATGTCTGTCTGCCAGTTATTGTAATTTATTGTACTAACCCCGCAGTGGTCTTGCACCGTATTGCCTTAGACCGTCACATGCCATCATTCTCCTGATGGAGGCTGGGTCGGCGGATGGTATTTGTGCGGAGGTTGATGACGGTAACGTTGATGAGCTCATCAGGAGCCACCACGTTTTTCATGCCGCCGATCCTCAGCTTGAGGGTTTGCGCGCACCTCTTGTGAAAACTGCTCCTGCCATGCAACCTCCTGCGGCAATCAAGCAGAGCTTCTGGATCACCAGTGGGCCTAGCGTTTCTGCTGTGTGACCAGACAGGCCCAGTAGCTCCTGAAAGCTGCAGGCAAAGACACTTCTCGCACAGGACGGCACACTGGATGCATTCGTAGATTTACTGCAAGCACTGCCAAAAATATGAAACCTGTCCTTGGAATCGCTTGGTGCTGCCTCGGCCGCACCTTCGGCCGTAGAAAGAGACCGCAGCAAGCTTTGTCGTAGCGGGTGGTCGTAACAAAAGTCCTCGGACAATTTAAGCGGTGAGGGAGCCAGAGTGGACCTTTCTTTAGAGTTGTTCTCCTGGATGGGGGAAATCTTGCACCAGTTAGGTACCAACAAAGTCTTGCAAGTATCATGATCGGGGTATATTGAGGTCACATGGGGTGATGCATCATTTCCTGCATCCACCGCTTCTGGTACAGCTCAACGGTGCCAGCCAGCTGTCTTCACAGACAAGGTTGAGTGTAACTTCCAGAAATCCAACGCTTGTTTCCCGAGGAGTCCTCACATCTCCAGGCAGCTCGAAAAAGCCGCTGGTAAAACCGAGCCTTGTCACCTTCCAGGTCTGCCAAAATCAGGTCTGCCAAAATGAAGCTAAGCGACTGGCCGGCTAGTTCCTAACAAGATTAAGAGATTAACGTTCTAATTTCAAGAGATGGGCCAGGAATCTAGGCCTGCGCTGGCATAGGCTGATGCCACACCTATCCGACGGCCTAGCCTGACTTCAAAACCCAGCCTATCGATGCCGCATGGGTCGAAGATGCCCAGTGGCTTTCATGTAGCAACAGCGAGGTTTCACCCAGAAGGAACTGGCAAAGTGCCTGCAGCAAGTGAGGCCGACGGGGAAATGAAAGTTTTCAACAGCAACGGCATTCTCTATACATTTCTGTCTTCCATATTGGGCTTTCTCTCCCAAGTCTATGGTTTGTACGAAGCATGCATACCTGCAGCTTGCATCAAGCAAAACCCAATGCTCGAACGCCTTCCACAGGTCCACAGAGTGCTCTACACGCTGGTGGAATTCACCGCAGGTCGCTCCCAGGTCCTGTACACTCCGTTTGCTGACATGATGCTCACAACCTTTATTGGCACATGGAATATACGGTATATTCATGACATTTGCTCTCCAGCAGCGGCCGTGCAGGAAGAAAGCAGCAAATTCGCACCAGCGCATCCTCGCTGATGACCTGAAAAAAGTGCTATCTCACGATCCCTCGACCCTGAGCCGAACTTAAGTCGGGTGTCAACACGTGGGATTACAACGGCTGCTCACTCAATCATTGGATAAGTGCCCCTGCGAAGGTCTGCAAAGTTCTTATGCAAGCAGGTTTCTTCTCTGGGCCCGTGCAGGTGTAATTCGGGGGTCCGGCCCCATAAGAAAGGTGAGTACGAACAAGCGGCCTCCACTAAAGGCCTCGCAAAGCCAGCCATGCTGAAGGGACAGCCAGCTGGGATGAATGTCCGATAAGCTTTGAAATGTTTGGAGACTTGTTTGCTGTGTGACGCGTGGTTGTCAGGTGCAGTGGGAGGCTATCCTACTTCGGAAATGCCTGAAGCCTAAGTCTGGTTCGGGCACTAGTTATGTACAGGTCCGCTTCGCACTTGCGAAGCTTGAGGATTCCGCCTGCGGCATTTGGCTGTTCCCGGCGAATGAGCTAGAAACATTGTTGCAGGTATGACTTTTCCGGTAGTTGAGCCATCTTCGCCACGACTGAGTGAAGCCTCCCGTGTCAACACTGAAGTCTTATGGATATTTCTGGGTGATGGTGGTCAAAGAGATGATCAATTCTTGCGCATTGCCCAGGCAATTTTCCGGTCTAAGGTCCTGCATCTCCACATGTCTCCACGTCAGATTTTTTGGCTTTGGGCTGCCACCCGACGTGAGTTGGGATCCGCTCAGCGCTTGACTGACCTTGCAGTGGGCCGTGTGGTAGGACAATTAGGTTCTCAATCTTCGTAAAGCATTGCTGGTACAGTCACCTCGCGCAATCGAATCCTATTTGTCCTCCTTCGCAGCGGTGCATTTGCAAATGGGTCAAGGGGAGGCGGCACTGCCAGAGCGCTTTTCCCGGCGCTTCGGGTTGGCCTAATTTCTGCGCCTAAAACAGAAAACGTGGCGCATTACAGCCGAAAACTGACATTCGCAACATGCTGGCTTTGCCAGCACCAGCTTCAAATTAGCGACCAGCCATGGTCCGGAACCTGTCGCAAGACTGTTGCATTTGGCCTGTTAGCCCGTTAGCGGCAATGGTAAAACACAAGAAGTTATGCCAAGGTGCGGAGACATCAGTATGTGGTAGAGGCCACGCCAACAGGATTTCACACTCTGAGGAAGCAGGCCCAACTGAAGCTTGACCTGGCTGATGCATGCTATCTTCTTTTGCCACCAAAGAGACTGGTGGCGTCCCCATCTCGCACCAACCCGGCTGCTGAGAAATTTCAAGATTGTTCGGAGCTTGGGCTGCAGCAATGTGTTGAGCGAAAAACTTCCAATTCAAACCGTCCCGATTCCAGAATTATTCAAGGAATGCACTGCGGCGGAGCGTGAATGAAATCATTGGCTATTGCTTGCACATGCTGATGCATTGACAGCAGCATCTCCGGCCATGTCTAACGTGAACTGGAACTTACAGATCCACTATACGTGAACACTTCATCTGAGGTCCGCACTACTAGTGGGTAGACAAATTTTGGAAGCTCCTCTCCAGCCTGAATGCAGTTAGCAACGAGCTCGTGTGCTTCAGGAACACGTGCATTACGAGGCCAGTCCGTGTTAACTCTGCTTTGTGCATGGACTGCCTGCCTTGGGCAATGGGAAGACCGTACCCCGGAAGCCAGGCAGGGTAGACCTCAGGAGGAAGAGAGGAAGAGGAGGAGGAAGTCGGCTGATTTGTCTTTTGGCTACGAAGCTGGTTTTCGTTTTCCTTCTGAAGCTGTGAAGTGAAGCAGAGGTGGTGTGGGCTTTTTTCTCTCGCGCCATCTGTAGCGGCATAGGGACTGGTGCTCAGGTTTGATTGCTTCTGTGATTGCTGCAGTTATGTCAATACTGACCTGCTTGCTCTAGGAACAATAGATGCCTATGGCCTCGCTACAGATTGAACACAGAACCCCTTATCTGCGCACCTTGCATCTCGTGCTACAGACAAGCTCTTTTGATGAATTGTTATGTGGGGGGGTTTAACCGCAGCATGCAGCAAAGTAAGTAAGGGCTGTGCTTACGAACGATCGCTCGCTGGTGGCTGAACTCATCGAAGCCGAATTTGCCGTGGTATTGGCCAAAGCCCGACTCTCCCAAGCCACCTCTGCAGATATCTGCAGATTATGATCTTTGTCTTTCTCGTGCTTGGGCCGTGAAACACCTTCGCAACTAAGAACTGTGCGGCAGCGGCAGCCGCCGCTGCCGCACAACAACCTCTACAAGCTGCCGTCGAGACTCCAAAAGGAAGAGAGTCCGGAACGACTTGCTCGAAAGTGGTGTTGACTCCTGCAGCGCCATCCCCACAATCCCGACACAGGAGACGTTCAATTTGGCCTGCGCCCCCGCTCTGGATGGTGTTCAAGGCCAACTCTACATTTCCTTAGATGCCAGGCCGAAAGGGAACGCCTTGGGAGCCCCAGCATGCCAGTAGTATGCCAACTGTACGTGCTGGCGGCGAGAACTTTCGGAGAAAATGTAAAAGGCCAATGGGATCTCCTGCTTCCTGATCATCTCCAAGGCATCCCTCGGACAAGCAGAGCATCAACACATCCGCCTGCAGGAGCTGCGATGTAGCGCTACTGCCGCTACTGCTAGCCCGGTGACAACTATCACTGGTTTCGAGCGGCTCAAACCTGTCGTAGGGGATGACGGGCAGAACTGGACCGAAGATTTCCTCCTGCCTGGGATGTGAATCCAGGAGGCATTCCGAATTCTGCATTGCTTCAGGCATTCCGTACCGGTCTGATGGCCATCAATCGTTTCTGAACGAAGTCTCTGGCTTCACAACCCACACTGAAGTGACCAACCCACACCTTGTCATGCCGAGTCTTGCGAGTATCGTAGACAGACCCTACACGCATCTTCCTCTTCAGTGGCATGACGCAGACAATGCCCAATCAAGGCTGTGAAGCCAGAAGTGGGTTCTGTTGTCATCTCTGTTTTCAAGCTGTCTAGGCAGAAACATCATAAAAGCCCTCACACATGCAGCCCTGGCTCATGATTGGAGCATCCAGCTTGGGCTGCTTGACAATGGTTGGAGGAACGAAGCACTCGCTATGACGAACGCCCTGCAAGGGAGGCATCTGCTCATGCTGCGTGTCCAAGCAACAAACTGCGGCTGTTCCTTGAGAGTTGCCTGATGAATCGTAACTGGTTCGTGTAATCCCAAGATGAGCAAGGCGTGCAAACGAGGCTGCAACTGTGCTCGGTGGCCAGCCTCAGCTCCCCCATGGACGACTTCGCCGCCGCAGGTTTTGATGAGCTTTTCCACTCGCTCGGTGTGGCGCTCGTTGACGAGGTGGCCAAAGTCCACTGCAGATTTCAGGGCCAGGGACCAAGCAGGCACACAGGGGATCATGCTGCCTGCCATCCTCACCGTAGCTGTCCTGCCAAGCACCAACAATTCGCAAGGAGCCGCGTGGACCTGGCCTGCTGACTCGAACATGGCCGTCCTTGGCAAGTTTGGTCATTCGCCTGATGAACTCCTCTTCCTTGCTTCTGTGGACAAGCACGTAGTCCTTGGGGCAACTCACGAGTACGTGGGGTCATGAGACAAGAGACGTTTATGCTTGAAGTCCAGGCTCAGGAGCAACGCAAATCTGGCCACAAAGCATCCACTTGGCGAAGGCTATACGTCGGCAGGTCACATCCATCTGGCAACAGCCAGGCATGCGCGTAACTACGTTTGAGTTGAGCTCCGACCCCTTTCCAACTGCACAGTGCGCTACATCCTTCCAGCACTTTCATGTTGACACTATGCTGACGCAGGCCTTCGCAGTTTCGTCGACAATTACCTTAGTAAGCAGTTTTCAAACTCCCACTAGCTTTCAAAACAGGCCGCCCTCATTTCTGGCAGGCTGGTTCCAAAGCACGCCGAGCGCGTGCAGGTGCGATTAGCCCACTTCACCCGGTATTTAGCATACAGCTAGCGGGTCACAAACAAACTGCTCGAGAAGCACGCAGGGATCAACAATAGTCCGGCGCTGAGTACCTCTACTGCAATACTGGAATTCCTTGCAGGGAAAAGACATCTAACTGTTTCCAGTGAAGGTGCCGGGGACTTGCCACCCAGCTCCATGGTCACCTCAGTGACAATGGGGAAGAATATAGGTCGATTCTATTTCCTCTCTTGTCCATTCTGGTTCCTGTCCACTCATCTATCCAACCCTTGACTCAAAGGCAATTCTGGTTGGATGTTCTAGATGGCAGCCACGAGGACCTGGAGCCTCAGTCATCTGGTGGCTCATGCCGGCCCTTCCTGTTGGAGAACTGCAGCGAAGACTTGACAGTTGTTGAACCCTATGGGGCCAACTTCTCAAGACCCAGAGAGTGAACCTACAAGATCCAGAGGCTTCATGTTGATTTGCAACTGAAACCGAGGCTGGCTCACGCAGAGTCGACAGAGAGTTTCCAATGAGGGAAGCAGTACAGCTGGAGCGGTCTACGCAACTTCAATGCCGGCTGGTCTGTCCATAATGATAAGAGTTGGCTACTTGCCAGATTCAATACTGCTTGAGCTTCGGCAAGGTTTGGTTGTGGAGTTTCAGGATCATCCCAAAACCTTGGACTCAGGGCCAGGATGAAGCCAACGTGACGGTCTGATCTCGACGCGTCACTGGAGTCAGATGTTTGGCTGCCGCGGCCATGACAACTCGCCCAATGGCACCATTGCCTGGGCCATGAAAAGGAGGCATGCGTTGTGTGTATAGCGTGCGGTTCTATGATTCCTTTGGCACCTTCAAGAAATCTTCAAATCCGCCGTGAATTTTGCCAACCAAGATGGTAAAGCGCTGCCTGCGCGCAAAGTTCTAAGGTGCAGAAGAGCGACCACGGGGAAATACTTAAAGCATCTAAAACGCCAGCAAAACTGCTCAATGCCTTGGAGGTGAGTGGTCAGCATTTGCCTACATGGACATACAGTGTTCTCAAGAAGCTAACTCGTACTCAAGACCAGCCAGGGAAGATTCAGCTTGCATGCAGCACTTCTTTTTTGATGCTCAGACTGTCGGACTGCCGACAGACGGCAGTGTTAGATGTGCAGTTGTTCGTAGCACCAAGTAGGGTCGGGAGAAACCGCCCAATCTCAGGAGCCCTTATCTTTGGCATGTCCCGGCCTGTATAGAAGATATGGTCCCAGCGGTTGTTCAGAAGCGCTGTGGTCTCTGTCACGGCGCCCTCAATAACCCTGCCAAGACCAGGATCGTCAGGGAAATCAAGCTTGAAAGCTCGATGACCTCTACTAGCAAGGCCCCCCTGATTGACCCTTCAGTCAACAGGATTCATTAAACACATTGTGCAGCAGACTTTCTTGCACACACGATTACCAGATTTCCGGCTGTTCTAAGCGAACGCTACGAGCAGCAATGCCTCTGAGCGGCGAGGATCAGGACTGCTACGTTCATCGCAGCCAGTTTCAAGGAGAGGGTGTGCAGCATCAGAATATCGTCAGTTTCACAGCTTCAAAAGCACGAGCCTTACCCCTGTAAACGAACAACGCACATTCGCATAGACATAGGCAACGTTCAATGCCCAGGCTACACTCAAACGCGCACGTCGTGGAGCCGGCCTGAAGCAGTCACGATCCAAATATTGATGAAGCAGCTTTGCAATCAGTGGCGACGTCTTGGGATTCAGCTCACTTGGCTTCAGCACCTCAAGTGTTCGGAGTGATGAAGGCACATGACTTGCTCAGACTCTGCCGCGCCAACCGCAAGCCTTTCTACATTGCCTACGAGTAGCTTTATGCCACCGAATTACGTAAGAATCCTGAAAGCAGGGAAGAAATAAATGGTGCCCGACATGTGAAACATGTGAATCCGAAATGTGAACAATGCGATTTTCGCATTCTAAGGGGATTTAGACATGTTGGACACCCTCAAATGGGAAGCGTTTGGGGGGGTCTCACATTTTTCGTCACACTTGTTTCGCCATGCTAGTTTTCTTGGAGTCATGCCACCTTCATAGGAGCCGGCGCCCTAAGAGTAGCTAACTCTTCGCCGTTACATGTGCGACGGCTGGTGATGTGAATTTACAAATGTAAGGGCTTTTCTTGAAGTCATGGCACAGCCAAATTTCCCGCAGTAATGGCCGACGCCAATGGTCGCACAAGCAGCTGCCAAGGCACGTTCCTGCAGCTCAGAGTTGTAGGTCGGAACCAGGCACTCGAAGAGTGCTGGACAAGGTTGATCATGTATTGCCGGTGGTGGTGGCGGCAGTGCTGCTGCTTCTTCTTGTTTTTCTGTCCCATCAGTACGACGACATCGTCCCCACCAGCAACAGCAATTTTCCCGGATGCTCTTGGCAAGAAATGCTATTGTTACCGAAATTGCTCTGATGACTACTGCTTGATTCATACCCTGCAATGCCAATTTCAGGTGACAGCGTCCACGGGGCGATGATCAGTACGACTCCCTTGGGCTCTGGGCGGACGCACAGCCTGTGCACTAAATCACGCAGCCACCTCTGACTGTCGGGACGAGCACTCAGCATCACTCACCCCAGATGAGCCTGTGTATCCAGCCTTCCACCCAGCGCTCTCCTATGCAGGAGCCATCATGGGTGCTGCATCCCAGTTGCAAGATTTGCAGGCTATCTTTTAAGCTGTGGAGACGACGTGCACATCTGCAGCATGAGGCTCGGCTCCAGCTGTCAATGTTGGCTAGCGCATCATCGATACCTTGAGGCAGAAGGGGCATAAAAAGGTGGACATAGGTGGACGCTTATGCCGAAGCAATCGACTCAACTGCCTTCCTTTATCATTATCTAAAATGCTTGTGCTGCGCTCAAAGCAGGTGCGATCTCGGCCATTCCGCGCATCTTCGTGCCACCCATGTCAGCGGCAATGGTGTCACTAATGAGCTCCTCATGTTACAGAGGAACAGCACATGGACCCTGACAAGCCACGAGCGGGCAAAGAGCTTGGGGCAAGTCATAGAGACGCTCTTGTCCAGCGCTGTTGGCACTGCATGGCACTGCTGGCTCTCACAGGCCGAGGCACATGGTTCTCTTGATACATCTTCAATAGCCTCAACAAGGAAGGATAAGGCGGCATGTTTGCAAGCCCTTGCACCGGAACATCCAAGACGGGCCATGCCGCTGCTGCAGCTGCTTCTTGCGCCATGCGATACTCCTGTAGCCAGGTAGGGAGCCATCTTGCACTGCAAGGCTGGCTGGTTAACAAGGTTGTACTTAGTTGGATTAGTCACGCGACCAGTGATTACTTTGCTGCCTTGGGCGCCATATGCCCCCGATCTTGCATTACTAAGGTCTTCAACCGCTGATTCCTCATCAGTCACAACAACCCAGGAGCTTTGACGACATTGCATTTGAAGACCTCGATCTGCCAGTGGCGAAGGTTTGCCGCATTGACGCGAGCATGGTTCCGTACTCTGCGGTCAGCTCCTTGGCTTCTTCTCACAGGGTGCTTGACTGTTCACATGTGAGCCCATGGGTGGGTCCGTAGACTCTATCCTGTGTAGCTTTTGCAGTAACACCCGTGAATTTCAATCCTTCCCCGGCTACGGTTGGCAGTCAAGACACAAAACTGTGCGAAGTCGCTGTAGCTGTCAGTTTCATGAAGATTCAGACATGAGCCTGTGGAAATGCCGAGGGTCCTCAACATCTTGGGACGGGGCCATGGCTCGTGACGAGGCACGTATCCCGCACACCCCGCTTCTCGAAACGCAGCTTTGAGTCAGGGTCGCCAGGAAGGGCAGTTCTGCACGCACAAGTGCACACAGTGCACACCTACTGCAGTTTAGATCCAAGGCTCAGTTGGCAAGCTGCTACGTCTCCCCAATGCTTCCACAACCAGAGCCAAATCAGCTTAACAATGGGGTCCCGCAGAAAAAGTTCAAAGGACGAAGCGCTCTGGACCCTCCCCTTCCCTGGAACGGGATCCGCACGCATCAAGACCGCGCCATGGGGAGACCTTCAGCGAGATCGCAAATGGTGCTTTACTCAGAGATGCAAAGAGAGGCGACAAATCTTGAGGGTGCAGGATTGCCTTTGATTTTGCATGGGGCGCTAGTTTTCACCGCCGGCTCCACTGCTTCTTCTGTACAAGTCTGGGCGACACCTGATCAAGAGCTGCGCCCTCCATCTGGTGCCAGGAGGTCATCCCGCTCTCTACGGATGTGGCCCCGCGCACGGCGCAAACGAGCTGCTTCTGGAAGCACAGGCACCTGCGAGCGCATGCTCACGGACAAGAGGGAGCCTGTCCTGGCAAAGGTTCGCAGCTCTTTCTCAAGCTTCTCCGTGTTGGCACCTTCTTCTGCCTCAAGGCTGATCTCGAACATGCTCTGCCAATTCTTGCCGGTGACCAGGAAGGTCTTAGAGGCAGGCACGTACGCAATGCCATTGGCCACGTGGAAGCCGTACTTCTCATTGGGATCTTGTTCACCGAAGCCGTCCAAATCAAAGAAGGAAGTGCACTCGAACGTGGAGGGGTCAATGCCCAGAACAAACCGAGTTCTGTAGAGGTTTCCAAACACTGTTGGCCCTTTCCCATCAAAATCCGCAACGAATTCGAGCTCATTCAAGCCAGGGACTTGGTAACCCATGCAGGTTACAGGGGCCGCGTGCTTCAAGGACAGGGTCTTCGAATCAAGTACCGTCAGGTACTGTGTGCCATTTGTTGCAAAGTACCGGTCTTCCGTGCTGTCATGGCACAAGCCCCAGCCTTCCTCGATGGGATACTCAACTTCGCTGTCTACAGAAAGGTCTGAATTGAAACGCACAGCCGTATGGCCATGATACGTAGCAACGAGCCATCCATCAGCAGTGCGAGCAACGTCTTCTGCGAAATGGTTTGTTAGTCCTGACTTGGTAGTTTGCAGCACCGAGCCATCCTTCAAATCGATCATGCGGACGAATGACTCCGTGCCAATGGGATACGCCCCACTTGTTTCAATCAGCCTGTTCTCGTCCACCACTTCTAGGCCCTGTGTAAAGGGTGCGCCCTCATGTGGCAAAGTACGAAGGATCTGAGCCTTATAGCCAGCTGGTGCTGAAGCCGCGAGAAGAGGCCCCAACACTATCGCGCAAATGAAGATTGGCTTCATCGCCCGTCTCACTCCTAAGGAGAGGCGGTCCTGCTAAGTTACGTAATGAAAATCTGGAGCAAGCCACATTGGCTGCGCTGGCCACTTTACGGCAAGGCATGCATCATGTGAGCAACTACCTAAATTATTAGTAAACCGCTAAGTAAAAAATCGCTTTGGAGGGGCCTATCGCTTTACAGGGTTTTTGCACACTGCTTTCATCCATTTCGGGGGTATCGCTTTTGGGGGGGGCCTATCGCTTTACTAGGGCTTTGCTTCTGTCCCTGAATTTTATCTCTGCCTGCTCTTGGCTCCTACACGATAATAAAAGCGGTCGCTCATGTCACGTTCGCCCGTTGGTCCACGCCATGTCACAGCAGCACAGGAAGTGAAGGCGCTAGTTAATTTTGCTCAACGGAATTCTCCAAAGTCTCGAGCAGTTGCCGGATTTGTCACCAGGCCAGTCGGAACTGTTGCTACGGCTATTGACTTCTAGTGCTCATACAACAACTTGGAAGAAAGACTCTGCTTTCGAGTCCTCTGGATGCATGTCGCGTACATGCAGGAAGGAGTTTAAACTGCTCGCAAACTCCACCGAGCCATTGGTGCCATTGACCTTGCTTCCCTCCAACGCAATGTTCCAGAAAGCATACCCACGGGGCCGCCACAGAGGTTCAGCAGCTTGGTACGCCTGGCGAATCTGATCAGGCCAAAAGAAGGCAGACCTGCCGGCAGAGCCTCCTGGTGCGAAGCTTAACCCAGCAATCAAACGGCTGGAATCAAGGTGAACTGAAACGAGCCCCTTCAGCGGAAGAAGCGGATCTGTTACGTTGATCATCCACCCACCCAGAAGGTTGGCCGCCCACAAGCGCAGGTAGTCTTCGCCCAGCATGCCTGCGTCCAAGCTCCGCAAGGCAGGGGCGAAGGTCTCATAGAGCTGCACCTCTACCAGGTCGAAGGTCCCAGCTGGAGCAGCGGCTAAGATGTAAGCGTATCCGTTCCTTCCCATGTAGTGGAACTCTGGATGGAAATGCGGATCGGAGTTGTTCAGGAATCGGTTGAACTGCTTCGTGGTTATGTCAAAGTAGGATTGTGGCGGTGCCAGGGTGGCCAGAAGGCCGGCCTTTTTGGCAGCAACTGACATGTCAATGACCAGCTGTAGGCATTCTGGGGTAAACTCATTGTTGGGTGACGTCACCTGATCATTGCCTTCGAGATCCCAGTCAAACCCATCAAAAGGCACCGGCAGCCTTCTGTTCCATTCATTCCACGCATCAAACCATTGAGTGCCAGAAAAAGAAGTATCTGGATGGGGGCTGTCCCAGCCACCAATGGTTATGAGGTGCGAGGTGGCAAGCTTCTGCTGCTGAATAGCAGCACGCACCTTGGCTACGCACTCGGCATTTGGGCCACCTGTCACCTTCGGCTGTTGCGTATCTTTGTCCTTAACCAGATTAATGGCAAACCAAAAGATTACGTTTACACCCTGCTTCACAGCGCGAAGGGTCTGCGTCTCGTTGCAGGCCGACCAGTCCTGCCAGGCCGCTATGATTGGGCCATCAGGCAGACTCCGAACGCCAGTGTTCTGCGCCACAGCAGTGCAGGGAAAGGCCAAGACTAGAACGGCCAACAGGGCACTGCTGATAGCATGAGTTGCGCGTGCCATGGCTGCAGCTCGGTGCCCTTTCGTATGTCTTGTGTTGCTGCAAAGTTGGGCACTTTAAAGTTGAGAGGTGACTGACAACAATGCGGAAGACATAAGCCAACAGCTTCGGGCATGCATTCAACCTCTGACGAGCAACGTGTTGAAACACCTTGCAGCAAGGTGAGGCGAGCCCCACAAAAGCAGGATGTTTTCTGCACCGCTGGCAGTAGTTGCAGCAGGTCTGCCAAGCTGGCAATCCTCGCCTGCACGCCAGCGTGCTCGCCTTGGTTCAGGCGAGATGCTGACATCTGAGGCCACTGAAGTTATTAGCAGAGCGCATGCCTCAAGAACCTCGAGACCCTAGAATCAAAAGTCCGGTGCTCTTGGCTTGGTGTGAGCATGTGATTCTTGAAGTGTTCTGGGAGGGCATATGGGCAACTCGAACATCAGGGGCATTGTGGCCATTTGTGGCCCGTGTTGCATCTGGGGTCCAGCAGCACCTGCTTCCCGACGCCAGCAGCACGCGAGCCATTGAAGTCGCTCCTGGGGCAGGCTGAGGCAAAAGCAAAGCGCTACATACTCATCTACTCACCTTCATCCATCTTAACCGCTGCGTATCTTGACTGCAAGGCTTGGCGTTGCATTGGTGCTTTTGGCATCTTTTGGCCAGAAGTTAAACAGATGTTGTCACAACTGCGGGCATGACCAGGGCTCGAGGTTTAGTCGGCTTGTCGTCCTGAGACTGTCGCCAACCATCAGTGCTGCAGACTTGGGGATGCCAGCCGCTTCACAAATACTATCGAAAATCCTGGCGTCCGGCTTCACCAGCCCCAATTGGAACGAGAAGCAGCCTGAGCTGTATTTGCAAGTTGAAAGCAATACAAAAACAGCCGGCCAGAGACATGCTATATAATTGTATGGAAAGTAGCACAGCGCCGGATCCAAGACTTTCCGCAGGCCAGAGTGCTGTAGCACATGCCTTTTGGTATGCATGAGCAGAATTCCAACACCGTGGCACTGCGGCACTGCATGACTCCACGCTCGACCCAGTTGCGTGTATTGCGGAGTGGCGGCATTTGAAAGGATTGCAAGGGCATAACCCCGCTCCTTGAGCTCTCGTAGAACAATCTCTGCCTCTGGCACTACGGACCTCACAGATCAAGCTCTCGCCAGTTCATGCCCGCTTTGCAGGGATTCATCATCAGCTTATAAGCCTGTAGCTGGGGCAGGGCGCTCTTGAGCTTGATCTCGCTCCAGAATATCCTTCAGCTGCTGTCGAGTCCCGGGAGAGTCCGGAAGCCTGAGTCAGAATGGCAAGAGAGACAGTTCCGATTCAACAGGCAACAACGCAACAAGCAGTCAGGCTGCTGACCTTGACATCCCTTGCTTGCTGCTATCCTGAACTTTGGGTTGACAAGCTTTTTTGCCCTGCCCGCTCGCTGGAAAACCCGAGCTCTGAACATGCAATCGATGCCAGCGAAGCAAATCTGCGCTCTGTGAGAGGCGCAGCAACAAGTTCGCGCTGAACCGATTGCTATCGCTGCGGCATCCAACGGCCAAGCGCGCTGCTTGATCACGACTGCTCCAACACTCTGCTTTCATCAGACTCCGAACTCCTCTAGGAGGCTGCCGAACTGTCTCAAGAAGTCTGCTTTCTTCTCTTTCGGCACCTTATAACTCCTCCGCACAAGCTCGTGGAACTTGAGGGGGTCCTGCTGTGGACACACGACTGCAGGCTACGTGCTGCCCCCTCACCTATTGAAAGCTACTTACCAAGCGTGTCCAGGGACTTGTCGCGATCCCCTCGGTGCGGTGGCTCAACCACCACTACGTCGCTGGCTTGCGCGCCGTCGTAGCATGTGTCCGACGGGCTTGCGTAGATCGGGCCCTGGAACAAATCCTCGTGCAAATTTTGGCGCCCTCGAGGTATGTAGACTAAAGAGCTGCTACACAAAATCCCCACGACTTTCTGTGCTTCCTGGATTCAGGCTCGCTCTCCACTACCTTGCAGGCACAGGCCAAACATCTGGGCAGGTGTGTCGGAGATGACACCAGGACGGCGTGATGGCAGCCTTTTTCTACCATGACTCCTGAGCTGCATTTCTAAAAACCATGGAAGCCCAGCAGCAGCAGCAGCAGTGCTTGTGAGGTCATGAGTGCTGGCACAGTGGGGCACCCTGCCATCCCAGTACAATCGAAGCGAAAATTTGCATCACCAGGGGTGGTCAGCTTTCGTCTGCGAATGTCAACCTAGGCCTAGGCATTAGGCAAACTTCCGCTTGGCATAGCCAGGTGTCTCAAGCCCTCTCGGACTTCCTGGTCTGTGTTTTGAGTCGCTGCATCGAGCACAAGGGTAGCCTCTAAGAGCGCCTTCGCGTCTGGCAGGGGGACATGGTGCAGAGGCTCAAAATCAGCCAGCTCATCCCAATGCTCCCACAAGTAGCGCAAGGTGTACCTTGAAGGGCATTCCCAGGGTCTTGTCAAAATGTCGAATCCGGGCCAAACCCGACGGAAAAGAAAAGATGATGACAGCTTTGCCAGGCGTCTCGCTCTCCTTCAGCCCATCTTTCTCAGAAGCCCCGGTGCCCAGCACGACCACTGAAGCTTGCTCCTGCCACATTACGTGGTCAATCCTACCGGAGTCTACCGGAGACATGTCACTTAGTACAGGGCCTTCAAGTTCTGCTCTATTCTGCCCTGGTGAACGTCCAGTTCGCCGACGAAATCACTTAAGCTGGAGCATGTAACACAAGCTATCAAGATGTTCTCTGTCTCTAACTCTGGTTGGCCACTCCTCCCAAGCTAGGAGAACGGCATGCGGAAGTCGACCAAGTTCATGAGGAGGCTGGCCCCAAACAATGTGCTCCCAGCCGTCTGCGCTGAGGTGACAGCCGTGGACCAGGATCCCTGTGCTCGCAATTTGACTGGGGCTCCCACCCCTCGCCTTAGGCAGAAAGAAATTCAGCAGGCATGGCAGGCCTCAAGGAGTTGATGAAAAAGGAGTCCCGCTCTTTTGGGGCAAGGCACATCCTCGTGGAAGGCCACAAGCGGCAACAGGTCCCCTGCTCTTTTTTTCGAAGGATGGGCCAGCTTCGCTGCCGCGGCGCAGACCAGGAAGCTGCTCGTGTGCCGAACCCGCAAATCCCGCAATTCCATGGCCATCAATGCGAAGGCCCAAGGCTACTATGGCTACTTCCACTAGCACCAGTAAAGCCATGCGGGTTCTGCACAGGGTGCTGATGTGTGCTCTGCAACGGCTTGATAGCTAGCCAGTAGTAAGTGCGTCAAGCTGCGGCAACGAAGTCGCGGCACGGAGTCAGAGGTCTGAAAAGGCAGTGTTCTTCATCAAGCTAAGATGTTATTTCGCCAGGCAACCCCAAGCCGGTGATGAGCTTAGTCAAGTAGGCGGCCTCCCCCCCATCCTCATGGCGTTGATGGATCTTGCTCGCATTTAATGCATGCTACGTACGGAGTTGCAGGCATACATGGAAAGTGTATAGAGGCAGCTGAGGCAGTGTCCTCATCCCACCGAGTACCGCAGACAATGGCCTCGACTTGGGCATAGTCTTGTGCCAGATTGAATTCCTTGATTATCTCGCGCTCTGGGTCGGAGTTGCCTTCTGTCAGGGTCTTATACTGGTCGAAGATGATGAGCTGGATGCCTTCAATCAAGTCAGGGCTGGCAAGGGCCTCCGACATTGAGCTGGCTTTCCGGTTGTGTCTTTGTTAAGTGCTTGAAGAATTCCAGGGTTGTTTTGCAGCGACTTTCCTGTTGCAGAATTCGGGACTCTCTCGCGCTTGCCTTGCCAAGATGTACTAACTCTGAGCATGACAGCTGCAGGCTACTGTGAGCATCACCATGGTTGTGTGCAGGCTCAGGCACACCAGCTTGATCCCAAATTTGCGTCGGGAAATTGCACCGAGCACCGCACAGAAAGAAACACCATGGCTGTCCAGTAAACCTGTGTTTGGTTTCTTTCGCGGAAACCTCTGAAACGAGCTGAGCTCTTATCGCAGAGGCAATAAGCGTGAGATAGCCAGCCGGATTTAGCTCTCTACTGGCTTGACCTAACCTAGCGATGGACTCTGCGGTGGATCTTCCAAGAATTGTTGAAAGCAAAAAGCATTTGGCGTTTGAGGGAGACAACACAAGAGCATCTCAGCGGGCCCATGTCCCAAGATCCACCTGAAGTCTCAGGACTATTGGCGAAGCTTCAAAATGCTGCAAATTCATGACTGCACTGGCTGTCGCCATTCCGACAAGAGATCCTTAGCGTGCTGCATAGACTGCTGGGCTGACACTGCTGCACTGCTTGAACTTCAACCTAGTACCTTTACGTTCCTGCAACTTTTGTTCAAGGCTCATTGGTGATCTTGAAAAATTGGCTTCGCAGTTGGTTCACCTTTCTCAGGTTGGACTGCACTCGCTCTTCGGTGCGGGCTTCGAAGACCTGTATGTGGTTCTCAAAGAACATGATACCTGGAGCGCGAAGCTACTGTCCTCATGGTGTCAGCTCCCTCGACTCCTCGACTTGCAGTGCCGAGTCGCCATCTTCCCGAAGAGTCGCAAGAGCAAGGCCATCGGAGTCGCAAAGCACCCATCCCTTGAGACGCTGGTAGACCTGACTTGACTGCTGAAGCTGCTTGGCCAAGGCGAGCCCTACTTTTGATGGGCCTGGCTCTTGGCTGAGGTCCTCTTCGGATCCTCTTCGGCAACGACAGGGTAGACCTCAAATGCCCTAAGTCCCATCTGGCAACTCTGACGAGGTGTTCAGGGGCGTTCAAGATCCTTCTGACAGGGTCCATCGTGACAGGTACAACCGAGCCTTGAAGTCCTGGATGGGGCATGAGAAGATGAAGTGCAAGCTCAGCGGTGGCTGCAGCCAGGCCTGGACATTGCGATTTAGCGGGGCCACATGAATGGGAGCGGTCCTGATGCCTTACGTGCTACGACGGTGTTACAATGCCTCGAGCAGCTTCGCATAGACTTTTTCACGAGGAAGCTGAAGTGGCTCCGTGGGGAAGCCTTGGCTGTGCTTAGACGGTCTCCAAACTCGTATCCACTGATTTGCTGCTGAGGCGCTGAGCCTTTGCCGCGGATAAAACGGAAGCCGGTCAAAGTTGGTCTCCTGCCATGAGACATCATCCCAACGGTTGTTTCTATGCTTCGATGCCTCCAGAATTAGCGCAGCAGGACTCCTGATCACCGCTCCAAATCCAGGCTGGCGCGGGCTGCGGGAAAAGTGCACCAATGGGTAGCCGCAGCAACCGGAAGTTGTGCTCGCCTGCCAGCTTCTCCTTGGCAGAGATGTCTTTAGCAAGTGATATAACTCCGCCTTCAACCAACCTGGAGTGCTGGTCAAGTATCCAGCTTGGTAAGGAAAGCAGTCATATGGATAGAGGAGCACGCGATCCTCAGAATGACTTTCGATCGCTGTCCCGAAATGGCGGGACGGAGTGCCGCGGGTGCATTTAGCAATGGGTACCACGCCGTGTTCTAGGACAACATGAGAAAAGCCGTTCCTTGAGGGCGTGCGTGTCTCTGTTCAGGCCGAGAGAGCGTGAACCGCTTTGAAACAGGCTAGCAGTAACTCCTCAGTGCCTCCCTGGCTGTTGTTGGACCTTATTTAAGACTTTGACGCACATGCCGGCCACGCAGTCACACCCAAGTCTCCATTCCACAACAAGGTGGAAGCACTTCGGAGGGCAGAAGACGTCATCGTAAAAGAACCCGAACCAATCGCGGCTCTGGGTGAAGGAGGTCCTTGGCAGGGGCATGTTGTCGCTGCGCTGTTCCATGAAAGTCCGGGGACCAACCAACCAGAAAGAGTAGATCCTGATCTTTTTGTGCCTGGACTTGTTCAGGCCCGAGAATCTTGGCTCAAGCATCCGGATCATGAGCACTACTGGCTCATGCTCCAGACTTGCTGAAGCCATTTCTCAGGAGTTATCTTATAGAACGCTACAACCAATCGACCATTGACTATATCAAGATGAACTCTCAATTGCACACAGATTCGGCCCCAACGTCTTGAACTGTTGGCAACCAAGCATCTCCAGCTCTGCTGTGCGGACAGGCACCTGCTTCTCCCCCCTTCCTACTGTGAACTGCGCGGAATCGGTGTCGATGTCCTGGAAGGCACAAAATTTGCAGACAGCTTGGAACAGCCGCACAACCGGAGGGCAGGTCGTCTTGCCAAGTTGCGAGAAGCTCCCCCTGGAAATCCTCCTTGGGCATTCGCCCAAAGAGAAGCCTTCTCAGGCCCTCCTGAAAACTCTTGAACCTTAGCCATAGTCTAGCTTAATAAACGAATTGTTTTCTGCATTTTTTAGTTTTGCTCCACACCCACACAACGTTCTGACTGAGGACAGTTCTTCACGAGAAGTTCTGCTGGCTGGACATCTGGATGAAATCTCGTCCAAAACTTTCTGTTGACTGTCTTGCCTACTGGAACTTAAGATTACCCCCTTCAATTGCTGTGCATGGCTTTGTTGCCGCGCACTGCCACAAGCGCAGTTGAGCAGCTGTTCGACTGTCTGCGACCGCATCTTCTCCTTGTATCAAACCCATCCCCCAATGTCACATCATCCAAGGAGCCCTAGAGCTCAAATTTCTGGTCTACGTGTCAAAGAGCAGCTCATTCCAGTGAAAACCTGAAACACGGAAAGTCCAAGTCTCCAGGTCTTCCAGCAGCTTGCTGGGATCAGCACTGAGGTCCACCTCGTCCTCGTCCCGGGTACTGTTACGAAAACACACTCGCAGGAGATAGCGGCTTGCTTAGTACCATTGTTGTATCCGGCTCATGCTCTGTCAGACAGCCCGAAACCTTACACCTTCCAAACATGGGCACCAACGCGAACAACAACACCGCACACAAAGTGCATCAAAGACCTGCAAACCCACAGTTGCTCTCTGCACGGAGCCGTTAACATGTCCACGGTCCGGAGTCCGGGCCCCAATGTTCTCGAACGTGGTTGCAACTGTAGTGTTGCGCGAGACATAAGGCTGCGGCTCCTGCAAAGGCTGTGTGGGGATGCGTGCAGAGAAGTTCTGAGCAGGTTGAGGTTTTGTGGGAAGGACAACGCTATGAGTCTCCTCCAGTGCTTGCGAGTCTTGCACGCCCTCGAGGCTGTACACCCAGTCCTGGCATGGTTGGAAGATCAAACTCACCAGCCAAAGATCTTCAAGGAATGATCTGCTCTTCCAGGGGTCTGCCCTAGCTGGACACCCAGCGCGAGTGGAAGACGAAACCAAGCATGCGCGCAGATTGCCCCTAATCTCAAGAATCTGGCATGAACTGACGTCCAGGCTGAGCCAGTTGTGATGCTTGACAAGTAGTAGTATTGTGAATACAGCTAGGCTTGGACACTTGTGAGGACTGTTGATGACGTTGAACTCGCGCCGCGCCTGAACTGATATGGACCCAGCACCACTGTGCCGGCGGCCGTCCAAATTCTGCACTTCACTCCTGCCACGATGCTGAAGATGCGAAGGTGACAGCAAATCCAACATGTCAAGGGAATGGTTGCTGCATTGTTTCGTCCCACAACTTTGGACTTTATTGGCAAAGGCCATGGTCCAGCCTCGAAGTCTGCCTTGATGGCAAACTCTGCTCATCCACGGTCTGCCAGCGTTGAAATGCTAGCCAGGGTGGGGTGAGGCGTGCGGCTTGGGCATGACTTCACATATTGCTTCTGGACGGCCAGAACTGGAGTGAATCTGCATTTCAACTTGGCAGGCCTGTCGTTTGAGGTGCTTTCTGCTTTGGACAGAAGGATGCAAATTTCCTCAAGAGGCCGCCTTTATCTAAGCTGCCCCACCCCCCCCTGCCCTAGTGCGCCTGGTTGAGGGCATTCTCCTGTCTTTGCCTGAGGGCTTCCTTCATCAGGTCCTGAGCAGTTTCCATCTGAGCTCGCAGCCACAAGCTCTCAAAATCTTCAATGCAACTGCAGGCGATGCCCAGCCGTTCCCCTAACCTGAGGGGCAGATTTGCCTGTCCTTGTTGCCATCGTAGCTCCCCTTCTGCTCGAAGACATCAAAAGGATCCCTTCCTGGCATGCCGTCCGGCACGTCCAAGCAATTCTAGCGCGCCTGGATCTGCATTCTTCTACCTTCATCGCAGACTCCCAGCTATCTAGACGGATCAGGTCCTGCTTTAACTCGTAAGGCAAGAGCATATTAGGTGATTCCTGCAATTCTTGTGTAAGCTTTGCTGCCGAGCCACCAATCTCAAGGTTTCCCTCGAGATGGAACAGAACACACCTGCCCGCATGCCAACTCCTCACAGCAAGACCTGGGAAATGAAGCAAACTGCCTGAAGATCTCGGCATGCGAGGCGGCCAGCGTGGACTTTGGCATAAGGATTAGCATGTGCTGCTTCAGGGCTCCTGTTATGTTGATTGACGCGTCCAGCTTCAAATTCACGCAAGAGTGCTTTGCAATCATCCACCACGGGCATCGAACAGCTTGCAGAATCGAAGGACTCCAATTATGTGAGGAAGCCTGCTTCATGAAGGTGGCCCACAATGGAGCAATGTTGGTAGGTGCCCAGCGGCAAGACTCAAACCTCCAAAGAACTCAAGCTTTAGGCACCGTCCTCGCAGTTGCCAGCCATCACGTGTATCTCCCGTCAAGGAAAGGCTTGAGCTGTCCTCAGCTACATAATCTACACACATAAACCAGCCTCCCGAATGACGAAACATGGCAAACACTGGCAACCACCTTCTTGGTAGGATCGCTTCTGAAGCAATGCAGCGGTTTTGCGGATCAAGTGGCTCTCCTATCAAGCCTGCCAATGTCAAGGTTGCCACGGTCTACAGGATATGGAAGGGCCGGCGGGATCCTGTAAACGCCTGCCGCAGGACAGCAGGAAGCTTTAGATTGGCTTCACCTTTCACATGAGCCCTGGAGTGTAACAGCGCCTTAGGGATCTCTATCCTTGAGGCTGTATCTGGGGGACAGCGAATATGACATTCACATTTTCTTTCCAATTGCACACTGGAAGCCCGGCATTCAATGAGTTCGAGCCCCTCTGAGGAACCTAGGCATAAAGAGCGAGCTGCAAGATTCGGAGCCCAGATCTTGCGAATTGAGAGCCAACAGCTTCAACCCGATTCTGCTTCGAGCGACTTGAAGAGACAGCATTCTCTCGGACATTGACTTTCAGCTGAATGTATAGTTGTACAGTAGAGCAACTGATGCGGCCACACTGGGCCTGCAAGGACCTGATCCAAGTAGTTCCAATCCAAACGTTCGTTCAGATGGAAGACCTGCAAGGGACATTGTAGAGAAGTTGCTTCACGGTACTCTGTCAGGCTCAGACATTTGTGGTTGCTTTAGTATCCCCATGGCCGTGCGGGACTCGATCCAACCAGTCTCCGCCGAGTCCTGGCCCCAGCGCGATGTCAGATGGACGAAGAAACGCTCGTACAGGAAGCTCGTGGCTTTGTCCCCTGGGTGTCCATGACATGTATTTACAACTTCCATGATTCTGCATGCCGCAGCTTTACAGGAAAAGAAAATGCCAAACCTGTCGGCCCCGGGTTCCGCGAGTTCTGGGGGACCCCATGATGCCGCCACGTTCTGTCTAGCGTCTGTCCATCGTGAAGTGCTCCGTCTTGAAGACTCTGAGATTCGTGTCACTTGGTTCGAACCTATGGGGCATTCCAAAGAAGGCTTCCCATCTTCAGCCCAGCATATGGTGTAGTCAGCTGCCACGAGTGATCACGATTGTCCAATGTGATTAATATGAAACTTCTCTTGCCCTGCCTCCACTCAGATCCGCAGGCGGCTTGCACTGTCAGCCGGTGCAGAGATTTTGGAAGCAGGCTGCCGTGCACCTGAGAAAGAAGGCCCCTGTCAGCGGTGTCTCTAATGACCTTTGATGTCTCGGCTATGCCAGCTATCCCTCACTGCCATCAATGTGAACTGAAGAGGCACCTGCCATGGCTGTCGCTTGTCCTCCTCCTCATCCCCCACGCCCTTGCAAAGCGAACCATGCAAATCTCCGCCTACGTTCATGGAGCTGGTGTGCGTTGAAATCAGCGTTCCTGCATGTTGCGGGTGTGTTGCAACGTCCGACTTTACGTGGTTGTCTTCTCTGAGATGGTGCCTATTGAAGTCTCAATCCTGGCCCTGTCCAGATTGGTCCGGCGGACAAGTTCTGGATTTTGGCATGCACTCCAGACCTGAGTAGAGAAGTTGTCGACGTTGTAGTTAACGTTCCTGATGATCTGTGTGCCGCCAAGGGCTGCCAGTCGCAAGCCCACAAGGTCTTGCATCAAATTCAGCTGTGCGCCTTGGCCGATCTCAATGAATCTGATTTGGAGACCCAGGCTGGAACAGTTTCTGGACCCTCGCAGGCAAGATGCCCTCCTCCTGTCCAAAACGCGAGGGCTCGACACAGTAGAGCAGGGGAGCATAATTCGACATGTTCTTCGTTGACTCGCTCATCGCCGAGCTGAGCCGAGGCAGCCTGGCTGGACATGTCTTGGCAGTTCTGTGGCCCGGCTGTACTAATGCTTTGGTCCTTCTAGGCTGTAGGCTGGCGCCTGATTTCGTCCCAGGTTTTCTGATTCGTAGAAGCCCTGAAGGCTCGCAAGACTGTCTCCTCCTGAAATGCCGGACTGGACTTGGGCGACAGACTTTGCCACGCCTCAGGCTGCCATGCATGCACCCCACTGGCCAGACACACTTATACTCATACGTTCCTCATACGAGGCGCCATATCTTGTTCGGGAACGTGATCTTCTCTGAGTTCATGGACGGGCAAGTCCCACTGCAAGCCCTGCTGTTCATGGTCGATGAAGGGGAGGAAACAAGCCTTCACCGAATCCTGGGCTCGGGATGTTGCAGAAGCACCTGGAGTCTGAAAAATCTGCAAATTGCATGGATCTGCGACCCAGACGCTTGGCGTTCCTGGCCACATGGGCAGAAAAGGCCCTCCTGGTAGCAGATGAAGGACAACCATCGTGGAAAAGGCGTAAGCTTGTCAACCTCCTTTTCTTCGGACCTTGCCCAGCGTGGCTGTGGCTGGAAAGACTTGTAGGCATCTGCATGCCCTGCTTTTTGAACCCTGCTGCATGTCAAATGAGCCTCAGCTACCCTTTCCCAAACTGAAACCACTTCATGCTCAGCACTCGTGGCGGCGCAGAGCTTCTGCTCTCTGAATAATGCAGTACTTCAGTATGCTGCACGCACTCTGTTTTTTCTTGGTGTCCCGGCGTAGAGGCAGGCACAGAGAGCTGAGAGATTGTTGGACCCCCGGGCCACTGAATCCACGGCACCCGATGGAAGGGCGGGTCCTCTGGGATTCTTAACTGCAGTCTGAGTGCCGCTACACTTGCTAGAATCTTCATTATGCAACATCCAACCTGCTGACTGCATACACTCATACCTTCAAACCTCTGCTCGGACTAAACGCAGCGAAACATCTCAACCACCAAGAGTCCCCGCACACGCTAACGATCTGGAAGGAGCGGTGACCAGCTGCAACGCCTGTGTGAAGATTGTGCATGCGGCATGGAATTTGGGAAAGGTTGACAAATTGCTGTTGATATTAACGTGCGGACTAAGCTTGGGCAAATGAGACACGCTACCAAGCAAGAATAGATGATCTGCACCAGGTCTATGACTACATCTACTTCGTCACGCCTTTCGCGGAGACTCATGTTTACTCTGCAATGCTGCAACAGCATGCAATACGTCAGCAGCTGAGCCGAGCTGCAGCGCCGATTTGTCAAAAGGTAGAGCTCCCTCGTTGGGCTGCAGATTTTCCCGCTGCCAGCTGTGAGGATAATGACCACCTCTCAGAGCAACGCGAGGCGCGAGCAGCTTTACCAAGCATTGTGCTGCGCAGTCCCTTCTCGGCGGCTTAGAGTTCCCAGGCTACGGGGCCTACATTTCTCTATAGCAAAACCAAGCAAAGGCCTGCGGGTCTAAGAATTTCATGCCTCCGTCTGAATAAAGTTTAGCGACGCGTGTATCACATTAAAGGCTGTTCCGTCCAAATGTATACAGTAGTATCACTGAATCCTTAAGTGTGGGCCACGGGGAGTGGCACTCGCAAATCGGCCTGTAAAGTCGCTGACCATCATTGTTCTGTCACATCTAGAGGCTGTAAAGGGCTTCCTATGCAGCACCTGACCGCTGACTTTGAGCAATCTGTCCAGGTGATGCTGGTCGAAGTGGTCCAGGGCCAAGTTCAAGCACTCCAGCATGTTGCCTCGCGCAGCGATATTTCACATCCGAAGCTTCAGAACGAGCTCTTGCTCCGCTAGCACGCCCCCAGCTACCATATCCAGCACTTGAGAGCAGTGCGGATGACAGCTGGGACTCTGTGTACAGTACAGGCTTGCAGCGGGTCCGACAATCATGCACTGGCTCCGCTTCACCTCATAATGAAAGGCATCCTGCACGTCTCGCTGCCTAACACTGATGAATGGTCACCGGTCCGCAGACCAATGCATTTTTAGGAGCATGCGACTAGGAGGAGTAAAATGGAGGACCGGGGCGGAAAATCTAATTCCTATTAAGCAAAGAGGTCATGGTAAGAAACCAAAGAGATCCCAAATTCCAGTTAGCTGCTAGATTCTCGTGGGTGTTTATTTAATCTCCACTGGATTTTTTAGGTCACTTCTATCATTCCACGCAAGAAACGATGACAATAAGAGACAGTAAACATCAGGAGGTGCTGAATTCCAGTCGTATTGTCTTCAGACACTTGTATTCACGTTCCTGGGCACGAGGCGGAAAGATTGTTGCAAAGGTGTGGCATTTTTTTTGCAAAGGTGTGGCTCGCTCCTTTTGGTCTTGGAGCATTTCGAATGCTGTAAATTACAGCATCTGCTGGTCTTGGAACGCTTCAAACGCTGCAAATTACAGCATTTGCTGATTTGAGTTTGCTTCAAATGATGTAAATAAGTCTGCTGGGCTTGGAAAGCCTTACATGCTGCAATTTACTGCGTATGCTAGGCTTCCACTCCTTCAGCCAGTTCCGTGGGAAAAAATGGGCCGTTGGAATAGGGGGTATGGATAAGGCTTAGGTTCGTTCTACTTGCTGCTTGATATGGAAGAATGGAATTAAAAAGAACTAGCCGCATCATTGAAGTTTGTATAAAATATTCTGAAGATCCAGTCCCCCATCACACTATGAACCTGGTTTAGAACATCTTCTGGAAATATCAGGCTGTAAGCCCAATATTGCTCAACCATTGAAACAAATTTTTGCCGCTGCTACTTAGGAACTCCAACCCTAAACCCCTAAACGCTAAGCCAGCATGAGACGCGCTGCATCCACTCCAATCCTGAGCCCTGAAGTCCATTATTGTTGTTCTTTCGCTATTGTTGCCATAGCCGTGAACTCTACGGTTTTGGCTATTGCTATCTCTCCTCTCTCTCGTTATCATTAACAATATTATTACATCCAGTACGACGTACCTAATTAAACCCTGCGGCTTGTCACGGAGACTATGCAGTGACAAACCGCTGGTTTCGCACGGCAACGTACGCACAGCTTTAAAGAAGCGCCTTGGGGCTTTTGCGGCGCAGCCACCCATTTGTGAACAAATTGGGATGGGAAGGACCAGTGCCCGCATGATGCAATTTGAGGCAAGCACGCGCGGCTCTAATTAAGCGAGCGCGCGGGGAGGGAGGGCAGCGCCCTTCCAGTTGCAAATGTATGGTGAAGGCAAGCAAAACAGGCTTTAAAGAAGCAGGGGGGCGTTTGGAGGGCGCAGCCCGCCCCATGTGCAGACGGGATGATCACACACAGGACAGAGCCCCCCCTATTCAAACAAAACGACTGACCCGGGCACAAAGTCTAGAGAAGAACCAGTGAAAGAGTAGGAAACTCCAGGAGAGTAGTAGTTCGTTTTCTTTCTACTTTGCTTTTTGAATTGTGATTTCCATCAATTCCACCTGCCAAGTAAAAACATGGCGTATAATGACCCCGTATTCCCTTGTAAGACGTCCTGCTTCAGCATGCATATCCTTGCAAAAAAAAAGGTCTTGCCCCTTTACACTTATGTTTCTCGATCCCCTAATAAAACAGGCCGTGTCAAAAGTTGGAAAATAAAAACAGATCACACATAAAATCTAAAAAATAGAAATCGACCAAAAAATCGAGAAACAAACAAATCGGAGTCAGCCGAAAATCGACCAAAAATCGAACAATAAAACATCGAACTCGGCGACACTCGTACATTGCCAA